ATCATTATCTTGATCAATTCAACTTGCAATTTTTAATCGTCGTTGGCTCGTCGTCTAGTTTTTGCTCCGTTTTACTCACGTTTTTGATAGATCATTTTGCGTTGGTGAAATACGAAGGTGCAGCAGCCACTAACTGCTTTCGTAAATCTGACTGGATTTAAGTAGCAGACTGCAAAGCGTGACGTGGCAGGGCTAATCAGAAGTTGATTGGCCATTAGTTCGCTTAAGCAGCGTCGTTCTGTAATAGACAAGAAAGCTAGTTTGCCTGAAATCGATATACAGTGAGCCTTTGTCCTCTTTATGTCACCCTCTGAAATGGCTTGCGTTTTCCTTCTTGCTTTGTTTCAGCTCCACTTCTTGCTATCACTTTTCCTTGAATAGTGATTCTCGCTGTAAATCACGGAGCTTTTACGTATTAATTGTGATTTAATTAACCTATTAATGTCGTAATAATAAGCTGTTTTCTTATATTGTCGTTGCATCGACGACGACGGTAAGTGTCGTGCAAGCATATCATTTGGATCGAATAAATGCCTATTCAATCTTCAATCCTTTCGACGCCATGTCAGTTCTAACTCAGTGCCTTGTTGGAGGTCTTCCTAACGGTTGCCGCCAACAGGCCTTGAGTTCAGTATTCGCTTCACAGCAGCTATCGTCCATTCATTGGCAGTAGCTCAACCATCTTAAGATGTTGCTTGTAGCTAGTAACTAGTCCGTCATTTTAGTTGGATATTCTAAACGCGCTCTTACAACAGTATTTAACATAAGATTATAGCACTTCACACAGTACTGATCTTAAAATCTTCGTTTCCATCGCTTCCAGTTGCCTACTTTCAGCATTTAAGTACAGCCACCTCCAGGCTATAGAGCAAAATGTTCAGAATGCAAGCTTTGTGCTTTGTGCTTTACAAAGCTGCTTTGTGCTTTACAAGTCTTTGTCTTTCCTGATCTTTAGCAACCTATTGCTTGTTGCTAATTCGAAAGCCCAGTGCGTCTCAACTTCGCTTCTATGTAGTCCGCCTGCGGCTACTGTACTCCCAAGAACAAATGTTTTAGCATCTTTTCCGCAACTTCGGCGTCAAAGACCAGAAATTCTTGTTCTGGGTTCTGTCAATGTCCATCCGCTTCGCCTGCTTCGAGAGATCCAGTTCAGGACACAGTTTTAGAATTAAGAACAGTGAACGCAGCTTCGAGTTGTCTATAAACAATGAGATATCTGCGAATGCAATAGAGTTTACGCAGTTGATGTCCAATGCCCCCTTTACTGTAGTCGTAGCTTCACTCCTTTGTATTGACTGGAACAGTGACTCAAGAAACATTGCAAACAGTACTGAAGATTCCGCTCTTTCATGTCTTTCTCAAACGTTTGTATGAAAAATTTTGTTATACTGCCATCAGTTCGCACTGAACTAGACGCATGATCTTATTCCTTTATAGCTATGCAAATAATCTTGCAGATTCATTATTGTTCATTAACTTTCCACCAAGCATCTCTCACGATCGAGTCAAGCCCTTTGGTGAAATCGGTGAAACTTGCAAAGAATTTCGATTCCCATTGTCTGTCTTTACCATTGGCTCTCTCATAGTGAATATCTGGTTCAATCTTTCTCTCCCTGTCATGAATAAGACTGCTCTTCACCCAAGACTTTTTTAATGATGTTGTCGGATGCTGTTCACCATAATACGCATTAACACCTTAGCAGGAACAAACAGTATGCTTATTCCGCTGTAGTTGTTGGGATCTGCATTATCCTTTCTCAAATACTGTAGCCGCAATATCTTTCTTCCAGTCATTTGGGATATCGTTTTTCTGCCATGCTAGTTCAAGGAGATTAACTAATGCCAGGACTCCATTTATTCTAGAATTGCCAATTTTTAATTGGCACTGACTCAGTTCGATCAATTCCTGCAGCTCTCCATTTTTCAGCTGGCATAAGGTTTCGTTCGCTTCACTTCATCAAGAGCCGGCGATTCAGCATCGGTAAGGACCTTCAGGAAAGCACACTGCTACTTAGACAAAGAGAAGCCTCGTCTAACATCCGTTATAAACGAAAATGGTAGTATCTCACCTGGTTTTTTAGAAGTCGTTACGGTTTAAGGGAAACATCTTGAATCGATACTCAACCCTGAGGTGATTGTGAAACAGGATTTGTTGCATGACATTATGCCTGAGTAAAAACTGATAATAAACTGTAATTGATTAAACGCTTGAAATACGTTACACTACAACATGGGTTAAAACCATAATAGGCAGCTAAGTGCAGAACACCATCACACGTTGTTTCATGGCGTGTATTACCGCTACGTTGGTTCAAGGTGGCTAGATCATTTAAGAAATATCGTTAAAGATGCTATTTGAACAGTGCAGTACAGAGTTGCATGTGACAAACTACTCGCGAAACGTCTTTGGTGATGAACAGGTTATTGCACATGCCAACAAAATAATATGCGATGCACTGTGAGCTCTATTATTCAGAAAACAACGAGGAAGGAGTGCAATACGCCGCGAAACTCAGTTTTGTAAGAACTATGAACGTATTAATTAATGGTTTACATTGAAAAGATTGGACTTGGATTATTGTTTAATGGTTAAACTGTTTTAAGGTTGGTTTGCTGTGTGTTTTAGTCAACTCTTGAGTAAAGTGGACGAAATTTTGCTGTATTGTCATTTATATTAGACCATTTACTTGCTTTAGTCTATTTGCGTCTTGTTTCGTATGTGAATATTAATGCTGAAGTTAAAGAAGAACATAGAAATGATGTAATAAGCAAGACAGAAGCAATTTAAATGAAATATGATATGGCCATTCAAACTTGCTCCAGGGCTGGTTTGCGTCTCACATGTTTTTAGGGCTGCTTACAGATCGTTTCTTCCGTCGGCGTGCAATTTTCGGTCAATGGATTGCACTCTCTACTTTACATATTCCACGATAGTGATAAACTTTCCATATTGACTTTTATCGCATACTCTAGCAAACTTTGGTTGACTAAAAACCCGTTCACATATGACGATCATAATCCTTTGCTTACAGGGACCCCACGCCGACTACGGTGATGAACGTGAAGTGGCTTCCGAGCGATTCTGCTCGGCCGTGCTATCTTCGAATCTCGCTGCCTTTACAGATGATGCCCCAACTTTACAGGTGGAAAAAGGCAACGTTTTGGAACGATTTTGTCCCAAAACTACTGCAGCATTCGACACTGATTGTTCAGAGAAGTCGGGATGAACTGACCGAAGACGAACGTCTGCAACTGGCGGCATTCAAGCGCGCATGGTGGGCGTTATGGGTGCTCGTAGCTGGAATTGCGTTTCTGCTCTGGACGATCATTATATGTATCATTGCCCAGAAGTGCTTAGATGCACATTCGAAACATTACAAAAATGTCATAGTAGCCGAAGATGTCTGAACTATATTCCTTACAGTTACATTCCTTAGTCGATGAATTTTCCGACTTGCATGTCTCAGTTCGTAAAAAGGCGAAGGTTGCGTCGTCTATCGTAATTTATGTTCGAGGATTAGTTTATCGTGCGATTTCGAATATTGCAGATGGTTTGTGATCCGGCATTGCAGACGCTACAAAATGCAGAAAATATACGGACTGTTTGCAAACGACAAGGACCAATCTGACAAGGAGAGGAATGCGACGAGGGAATTTGTCTGATGCATGACTATAGATTTAATTGTGATTTTTCTATGTACAGCATTTGATTTCGCTGCCGTGGTTCTGATGCTAATTGATACAGTGTATACTTTAATGAATTGTCAGTGGTAGAGTTCAGCTGTTGCCGATCAGGAAAATATTTTCGTGCAGAAATTTGTACTTCTTAAGTATTCCAACGTTGGTACGCCGGATGTCGCGTTCGATTCAATTTCGATAAGAGTATTTACGAATTTTGGATAGAGTCTAGTTCTGCTTTTCTTCACGCAATCAGAATCGTTTTCTGCTATGTTCGTCGAACTACAGAACCCATTTATATCAATAAATTCATGAATACAATTTAGTAAATCGCGTTTCTGTTGTTTAAGTTAGCTTTTGGTAAACTGAACTAGTTAAACACCGGGCTAACAATCGCAACTTTTGGTGACAGCCGTTCGTTCGTTTCTTCGCATATTGAAACGATTGTCAACTGATGGGAAGGAAATGAGTGACAAAATTCAGTGTCAATATGAAACTGCACGTATTGCATTCATGACTGAAGAACTGCTGACTAAGAACATTGACAGCGATTTCGTCGCTGCGTTATAAGCTGTAAGGCTATGAGTAAGAAGAGTACCGAAAATGGTCCTAAAATGGAAACGTAAAAGAATGCTGCATCTCGACGGTTGCCGCTTACCTTTATTCTATAGTGATTCAGTGCTTAATCAAGTTCTCAATATTCACGGACAGTAGTCTGAAAAACAGTTTTAAGCTTGTCTACCCTACTGTTCATGTATTAATGCTCCTTCACATTTCTTCTGCAGACTTCGCCTTTAATGTTCCGTTGCTATTCCACTGAATTGCCGGATTAGTTGGTCTTGGAAGGTTGGTGTTCGTAACTTTCAAACGTCAACTCTACAGGTTTGAAACAGTAGGGTGATGTCACCCACTGGACCTTCTGCCGTTTGAAGCAAGGAACACAACATTATGTTGAAGGCAATGTCTTTAATTTAGTCTTTTATTTTGCTTCAAAATTCTGAAGCACTCCTCCATCACCAGTAATGCTACGGGATTCAGTTAGTACTAATGGTAAGCGCCTGGAGGAGCATCGGTGAATCACAGGCATCTCAGCCAATTAAAACGCGCGGAATGGTAGATTGCATTTTGGTACAACTACGCTGCACCACAACGTGCAAATTCCTTCATTTCGTAAATTCATTTTAAACGAAGTAACATTACTTCATTTAGTAGCTATCTGTGTCAGAACAAGTTGGGATGAATTTCTTGTCCGTAGACAGTTATTCATCGTTGGATTCCAAGCGGATGATACTTCACAGTGAGGTCAGGAACTAGGCACAATGCATCTACGGTTTGGATCAGTTCAAGGCTTGTTACTGAAAGGCATGCAAATATGTCAGTTCATAATGAAAAACGTCAAAGAGGTGAATTATTAGTTGTGTTTCAGGTTGAGTCATCGCACAAGTCGGCATTAGTCCTCATCTAGTAAACTCAGCAACTAGTTGCATGCGTAGGTCATAGAACGATATTGTTGCTGGTGAAGGTATTGAAATGCGTTGATCGCTTAACCGAAAGTGTATCTACTCGTTAGAGTAATATTGATTCAGTGGTTCTAGATGCAAATGGCAGACCAATGTTAAAGTCTTTATTCTAACTGCCGACGTTTTGCAGGATATCCTCTTGGCAAATAATGATTGTGGAAAGACGCAATTATTCTTCCGCGATACATAAGCAAGATTTCCTCACAGACTGTCGCAGTTATATACCCATTTGTTTCATGTCCTTTGTCGGCAAGGTTTTTGCTCACATGCTTGTAATACAGCGTCGCCCACGGCTGGCAATCCACCGAAGATTCGAGCAAGCTACATTTATATCAATTATATATGCAATTCTGACTGTTGGCCTATTGTCTAATCACTTCGGGAAGGAATTCTATTCTATGCACTTCGGGAATCCATTGCAGCGGCCTAAATGATATCAGAGTGGCCTTTCGCTCAGTTAACAAGTCATATGAATTATGCTGGAAAGCAATAATTGCATAGTTGCTTCAATCCTGGGGTCAGTAGCGAACGTCGATCGGCAATTACAGTTTGACGTGGAAGCCAAACTTCGTTTGCTACTAAAACGCTGGTCTTACCTGCCTTACTTTATTGTCGTAAATCCTGAACTGTGCTGAAGAAGAACCTCAGAAACTTTTAGTCGTTCTACTCGAAATGCCAGCTGCCGCTATTGAACATAAAATTGAGAAATTTTATTATGAACATTAAAGTGAACAGAATAACAGATCTGTTTCAAACAGAAGCTTGGAAGCTTACACCCCCTGAAAAGGGTGCAACTATCTTCGAATTTTACCATCACGTGTGCTGGTTAAACTGCCCACAGGTCTAGCGTGCAAAATCAAGCCCTCGTCCATATGGAAATGACCCCGTGACCATCTGAGATGACCTGGTTGCAGCAGTGGCTTACAGAGTCAGTCCGTAGTTATGAAGTTTACGATTAATCCGTGCGGTCAGAGACCTCGCAGTCAATTAGTCGATTTGTATTGTGTTTGTACAACGTGAATTGTTGACCAGTGGATACGCAATCGCCGCGCATTACGGTCTTCTATCTTCCAGAACAGTGAACATTTAATTGCGGCTACCACAGTCCAACGACGCAAACAGCTCATACTTCAACGAAAGGAAAGTGTGTAGCCGCTAGGGACGTCGGTTTTCATTGCACTTTCATGGTGAGGCATCTCTG